CAGAATTTGAACCCAGGCAATCTGGCTTTAGACTCCAGGTGTTTAACTGCCAATTTTTTTTCCCTCTCTCTGACAGCATAAAATTCAGTACCATAGGACCGATGATAAAAGAGATAATTCAGTGGTACTGTGATCATATATCACAATTCACCTTGAAAGTCTGCAATTCCTTTATCTTTTTTCCCTGAGTAAAAAATGTCAATCCTGAATCAGATCTTCTGGCATTTCCCTGAGCTCCCTAGGGACAGGAATTCCTAACTTTTTCAAAAGAAGAAAGAAAGCATAGAGGAGTTCAGACACTTATGAGAGTTGGGGAAACAGATGAAGATACTTACAAATATTTGAACTGGGATGTTATTGGCACAGAGCATAGCTAACCTCATCAAAGACATCACTACTAAATGTAATCCCCAAGTTACGAGTTTGTGTAGTGTCATAGAACAGAAGGAAATTTGGGCTTGCCTTATCCAAATCCAAAGTATAAAGTAGATTAATACTTTTAGGCCAGAAAAGTTCCTTTACATTCCATACTGAGGAACTTTTGCCACCTACTCTTCATGTAGAAGACTATGAGAGTTGGAAATCTAGCGCTGCCCCTCCACAAATCTAGTTAACATATTCACCAAGTACATATTTTTTTTAATTTTCAAAGGTTTTATTTATTTATTTTTAGAGGGAGGAAGGGAGCAAGAATGGGAGGGAGAGAAACATCAGATTCTTGCATGCCCCAACTGGGGTCCTAGCCTGAAACCCAGGCAATGCCCTGACTAGGAATCGAACCAGAGACCTTTTGGTTCACAGGCTGGCACTCTATCCACTGAGCCACACCAACCAGGGCTGCTTTAAAAAAAAAATTAAAAAGAAATTTCTTTATGAGAGAGAGAGAGAGAGAGAGAGAGAGAGAGAGAGAGAGAAAGGGAAATGTGATCAACCAGCCACCTTCCACACACACCCAACCCAGGGCTGAGCCTGCAACCCCAGCATGTGGCCTGGCCAGGAATGAACCCCTGACCCTCCCATGTGGGAGATGCCCCAACAAACCGAGCCACGTTGGCCAGGGTTCACCAAATATTTAAAGAGGATCCATCCCAATGGCCCTCTCACTTTCCTTTAGTCTCTTCCCTCTGATTAGAAAGTATTTGAGATTAATTCTTATGAATTACTTTGGCTACAAGAAATTTTTTTTCTGTATTTGATGATTTTTGAAAATTGTTTTATCTGTAACTTTAGGGTTTATAGCTTTCTAACAGAAATTAAAGGTCATTAGCCTTTGTGGGTAGAGGCAATAGGACTTGACAATTGCCCTTGAAATCACAAACTAGGCAATCTGTCCTCCCCAAACCTTCTGCAGGAATGCTAGGCAGGAACTGTGAAAGGCCTATTTTAAAGACCTCAGAGCAGATGGGTGCTGATCTGCTCTTCCTTTGTACTCTCAAAGCCTCACATGCTTACCCTGCCATAGTACTTTCCTCTGTATGGTCATCAGTCTACTCATCTTTCCCATTTTCTAGACGTGTATACCTTCAGGGCAGAAGTTATATCTAGTTCAACCAGCAGGTAATAGATAGTCGGTATGTATTAAGCGAACGGTGCAGAGAGAGTGTCTGATGTTAATTTGTTCTAGTTTGTAGCCCCCAAATCAAGCTTAGCTTGGCTGGGTAAAGATTTTTCCAGCGCGTCATCTCCTCCCAGCCTTAACCTGGTGGCTTCTTGGCCTGAGTATGGGTCAGCTCTCGTTTCTTGCCATCTTCTCTACTCCTTTTCCTCTGCCCTAAAATTTCCAGATGCTCAATGTGCAGAGATAGTGTCCACTTCCCTTCCCATCACAAACTCTCTCGGATAGCTCTTCCTACTCTACCTTTAAAACAAGCTAATCATGCTCAGTGTATTTTACTCTATTACTCCTCTGTTAGGTTAACAGGGAAACAAAGCCTATCTGGTTGTATCCTTTTGGGGACAATGTATACCACAGGGTCTTGCTTCCCAACTCTGGCACGTGGAATAGTATTGAGATGCAGGTAGAAGAATGTAAAGGAATGACATCCTTCATAAAGTAATGAATTTTTGAAAGTTGGAGAAGATAAAAGCTTCTGAAGCCAAGTGTCCAGGTATAAAGAAATGTCTGAACAGGTGGCCACAGCAAAGTTTTCTCACTCTGTTTTCTCACGCTGATTAATTCTGTCACCGCTATGTCAAACCCCTGGGGTATACCTCTTATTTCAAAGCCCTAGCTCATTGTTTCTTGGTCCTCTTCAGTATGGGGGAGCCATGTTGGGTGGAGAAATCATGAATGATTCTTTCCTTTACACTTTTTGTTTGGATTTACTGATTTTTTACTGATTTAAATGTAATTTTTACAATTACATTAAAAAATAAGGCTACAGAATTCAAAGGAAAAACCAATGATGAAAATGAAGTTAGAGATTTCTAATATTACCATGGGTAATTTGTCTACACAGCTCCTTTGCTCCCCAAGCTGTTACTCCAGTCCATGTATTTTTAGGGCCCTGCCAGAGCAGCTCACTTTGTCATTTTCAGGATTTTCCCCTTGATAGCTTGCAGAAGACCTCATTGAGAAAACAATGGGTGGACTATAGAACCGATTGCTCATTGTGGATAAATAACCTAATATACCTCCTCAAGAAGATATCAGCATATAAAGAAATTATGTAGCTCCAGAGACTCCCCATTAACTTCTTCCTCAATTTCCCAGAGATAGAGTAAAAGGTTGTTTTCCCTGGGATCAAATTAAATCTGAATTTAAAAGGTGACCAGATAGTGAAACCTGGGCCATGTGGGTGGGTTGGAACCTCTTAATAAGTTATCAAGATAAACTTCAAAAGCTATGTGAGGTTAGCTTCTAATGCAGAATTTGATGCTGATTTTAAATCAGCATTAATAAAGGAACATGAGAATATAGGGTGGGGCAAAAGTAGTTTTACAGTTGTCCTTGTATTATTTATTATTGTATTATTTTCCATGTGAAGCCTACTTTTGCCCACCCTGTATAAATGTTTATTTTGGCTGTAGTTTAGTACTTATTGCAGTCATTTTTACATGAATTGCTTACCCTTTCTTCTTATAGTGCATTACAATTATTTTCAAATAATTGTCATTTAATAAAACTAAACTGTTGATATGCTTAACAAGTACAGCTTTTTGTCACAGTAGATATCTGCTTATATATAGCTTAGTTGTTTGTTCACACTCTAAGAATGAAACAGAATATAAAATTCACCCTAGTAAGCATGCAAAGCCTGGCTGTAGTCAGTTATCTTTAGTTCTTTTTTTCCCCCCCTTTGATTGGATCAGATCCATTGAGGCCTCAGATATTAAATCAACCCTAAGAATTAATAGTAAAAAACCACCCTGAATGGGATAAACCCAAGTAAGATCACTTGTTAAGTTGGGAGGGAAAACGTTTCTTTTGCTGAAGAGAGGTACGTTGGAAATTCCTCCTTAAATTTGCTATATTTATTCTTTATTCCTGAGGCCAGAGTTTTAAAACCATTTTTGCTCTCCCCATAGTGTATAGTTAACGATTTGTGGCATTTTGATTATTCCCTTGTATCTTTGCTTCCCTCCCCCAATTTCTCTAAGGATGTTTAAGGTTATAAAGAATTTTCTGTCACTTTCACATTCTGCAGATTACCTAATTCACTGTTTTTCACCCCTTTTCTAGTATGTGGTTAGCAAGGAATAATTTCTTCTTTCTACCAACCAAACACCACCTAAAAATAAAGTACCTATTATTCTTAAACCCAACCATCTTGGGTCCAGAAGACATACTTAAATTCCATTACACATTAAATTCATTACTGATATGAGCTACTGCCTAATTTGAAAAAAAAAAAAATCTAAGAAATTCATTAGTAAAGGAATTTGGGAGACTTGCCTGTACATGACAGAGGTAGAAAAAAATGTTTATTAGCATGTTCATGGTAGTCAAGATTTTAACAAACATCTAAATCCTCACAACAACCCTGTGAGGTAGGTAAGTCATTGTTTTGTGATAAACTAGTATCATTCCAATTAAAGTGCAATTCCTAAAAAAATAAATCTGCAGTAGGAATAATTCTGTTAATGATACCATTTATGTATATGCTAGAATTTGTTTTTGTATACTTTGATTCATGCAATAGAGTGTCCCCAGAAAAGTTTACTGTAAATCAAATCCTCCTTAAATACATGCAAGGAGCTATTTAAGTAAACCCTGGGGTGAATTTATTTTTATAAAATAAATCACTACTTTTTATCTCATGAGAAAAAATTTTCATAGTAGTTGCTCAAAGTGAGGCATTTTCAGCAAGGTTTTCCCACGTTTATACATTCTTCAGTAAGTTCTCTCAACACGGCACCATGCTAATATAAGACAATTCACTGAATTAAGCCTAGCAATTTGGTATATGGCAGTGACCTGGGTTATCATGTAGAAATCTCCCATATAATATTGCGTTCAATCTCAACCCAAAACATAAGGTGAACTGTTTAATGAAATGTAAACACTAAAAAAATTGTAATATATTTCAAAAAGTGTTTTCCCTTAAGAATGTTAATTTTTTCCCTTTAAATTTTGAGAGACAGAGATCTTAGGGTCTTTGAAGAGAAACAAAATATTCTGATATCTGTAACAATTCTAGTGATTTCTATTGCAAATCAAAGTCACATGCTACCAATTTACTGCTTATAAGGGAGCCGGCAGATGTTACTCGAAAAGTTATTTTTTCCTGTGCCAATATGACTTACTAGGAAAATATTTCTAAGTACCCATGTTCTCTTAAGTATATACTTAAAAGTATATTTCTACTTTTAATCCAGCATTTGTAAACATCCAGTTGCCTAATTTTTTATAGCTGTCTTAGCTGCAAAATACATTTTTAATGGAGAACTTCTATTACATTTAATTATGAGATCAATGTTTAGATTAGTTATATAATTTATTTTTTAACAGTAACTCTAATTAGACTTAGGAACTTAGTTAATACTTAAGATCTGCTGGCAGGTTTATAATATTTCAGAAAGTGGTTAAAGAAATTTGCCATTATAAAGAAATTGTTCAAGCCTAGAAAAACATTCTGACCAACAATTTCAAAAAACTGTTTCAGGAAAATTAGGCAAAACAACAGGTAAAATAGACTAAGCCATCTATAACTTGTACATTCAAATACATACTAGGTTCAAGAGTGCACTTTGGATTATAGTGAGGTAGGGCAAATATTGTGAGATATATTTTGAACTGTGAAATTTATATAAATGGAAACACTGACTTGTACCCAGGTTTTATTTGGATATATCTCCCGCCCCTCAAAGTTGAGAATTCAAATGACAAGTGTTTTCTTAGATTCAAGGACAGAATTGTAAAAAATCTTTGAGGTACATATAAATAAAAAATACAAAGTTATATTTTATTTCAACATAAAATACGTATAAAAATAAACCTGGATATAGAAAAAAGAAATACAAACATTTTTGCATAGATTCTCTATATAAAACATTTACCTGGGGCTAAAACACTGGAAAATACATCTCTGAAACTAGTATAGTTGAACTATTTCCTTGGATACCAAGTATATACAAAGTAAAAGCCCTTCATCTTGGGGAACATGGGCAGGAGGGAAAAACAATTAAATTTAGCATCAGTCTATATTTATTTCTCTGTTGCTCGAATATAAACCAATGATGACAAGAGGAGAAACTCTGGGGGTTTATTTAGCAAAATTAAATTCACATTTCTGAGGCCATCATAGTGCATCCAATGTCCATCAATCTGGAAAGCTGCAGAATAATGATGTTCTTCTTTGTTAAATAATGTGGCACCTTCCAACAAATACCTGTAAATTCAATGACAGTGTGTAGCAGAAAATTACAATACTTTGTTCTTAAGATAAACATTCCTTAAATTTTTTTTTTAAAGGTTTTATTTATTTTTAGAGAGGGGAAGGGAGGGGGAAAGAGAGGGAAACATCAATGTGTGGTTGTTTCCCATAGGCCCCCTACTGGGGACCTGGCCCACAATCCAGATATGTGCCCCAGATTGGGAATCAAACCTGTGACCTTTTGGTGCACAGGCTGGCGCTCAATCCATTGAGCCACACCAGCCAAGGCAGCATTTTATTTTTAAATGATGACCTCATATTACATACTTCTTTCACTTGAAATACAAATAATAGCCAGTGTTTACTGTTTACTATATGTAGGTACTATATTAAACACTTTTCATGTGCTATCTCATTAAATTCTCACAGTAATGGCACCAGATAGAAACTTGTCACGTCTGTTTTATAGATAAGAAAACTGATGAGTTAAACTGGTTAAGTTACTAGCCCAAGGTCACATAGCTTGTGAAAGGTGGAGCTGGATTTGAACCCAACTGTCTATTCCATAATCCAAACACCTAACCACTATGAACACCACCAGAGACTAACTCCCTATATAGAGTCTGATCTTATCTAGAATACATAAATTTAGAGAAAGCTATGATCTTTTCAACAATATTTCCTTAAGGGCTGGACAAAATCATACTAGAATAGCAGAAAAATATAAAATATATCTATTTTTTCTAGTTTTGTGAAACAAACAAAAAAACACCTACTTGTGATCAGATAAATCCAAGTGATAGGGTACATATGCCAGATCTTCAGATTTCCAATGCTGCATATTTAGGACAACAAAAGGGGGTGCACCATGGCAGAAAACTCGTTGGGAGAATTCTCTTAAGCCACCACACCTAAAATTGAAATAGGCATGAACCTTATTAAACTTGGAATAAAGCTGCCTTTTATCACTTTTGGGTTGTCTTTATACTTCATGTCATAATAAGCATAATTATCTGTTTCAGGTATGGATGATGGTGTGGCTTTATTAATACTTTATATTGGATGGGTGAAAGCAGGCTTACAGTTGCAAGTATGCAAAACACAGTTTATTCTTGTATCATTTATTTGTATTACAACTGTAAACCTACTTTTGCCCACCCCTGTATATCTATTCCCAGTTTAAAGGCTCTGAAATTCTACATAGTAGAAATGATATTTTTAAAACTCCAGGAAAAGCTAGCTATTTTATCTAGGCTTATAAAAGTGAGTAGCTTTTATTTTTATTTTTTTGTTTTTTAAATTTATTTTTTGCTTTTATCTTTAGATACATTTTTCTTCATATAAGATGGATTCAAAGGGAAATAATGGCGGGGGGAAATAATGTAATTCTTACAAGCTTCTTTAGACTGGATAAAATTCTCAAATTGTTTCCTTTTGTCATAGGATGAAGCAAATTCTGTTTTCTTAGCAATATCAAGTATTAAGCATCTGGATAAGAATACAACAAATAGTTATACAGTAAAATCTTGATTAACCGGAATGCTCATGGTACAGTATTTTGGTTAACGAACATTATTGACTGAACACAAAAATCATTTTGTTTCAGTATTTGTTATTATGATACATTAGTTCACTTTCTCAACTTAAGTACAATTAACCGAACATATTTTCTTTCCTTCTTCTATAATTAGTTAGCTGTAAGATCATCCTTCTAAATATTAGTTCTCATTATACAATACTGTAGATAAAGAAATTAAGAGACTGAGATGAATATATCCTTTCTGCCCCTCTGGATTTTTCTTTATGCTATGTTAAATTTTTTGGTTGTAATTTACCTCTTTCTCCTAAATGAGGAGTGCAGAAAATATCCAGTTAACTGAGGGTCCCGATTAATTGGGTTCCGGTTAACAAAGGTTTTATTGTACCTACTCAGCAGTGGGGAAAAAAAGAAAAGGCATTTGCTTTGTATTTGTCAATTAACTGCAGTATTATCTTCTACTTAATAATGACAATACAGCATAAAATAGTATAGGAAACTATAAGGTGTTAAGATTAAAAAAATGTTAGATTTCCTTTAACATCAAAGAGCGTGTCAGTCCAGGTTTCTTTATAAACAATGTAGAATACTTTTATCTTAAATGGCTATCATATACTCACCCACGTTCTTCACACAGTTCAATCCTGGAACAGAATAACTCATCGACAGCCAGTCGTATCAAGTTTCCATGTGGAATTTCTTGGGGAGGACTACAACAATTGCAAAATGCATATAAGAACTGCTTCAACATTTTACAGGTAAATACATTATTAGGATTACAAAATTTACAGGTCAACTCATTATTAGCAAACCAAGTTAACAAGTAAAAGTATACCTCTGTTATTTACCTTTGTCTTTCTTGCAGATAGTATAGAGACACCAGTTAAACTTAATAAATGTCAATGTATGAAGCTTTCCAAAAAACGTTAACTCTTTCTGTAAACTGCAATATGCAGTTGTTGTTACTTTAAAAAATTTTCCAGCCCTTGCTGGTGTGGCATGGTGGGTTGGACAAGGGCTTGTGAACCAGAAGATTACTAGTTTGATTTCTGGTCAGGGCACACGGCTGGGTTGCAGCCTAGGTCCTTGGCTGGGGATTTGTGAGAGGAAGTTGATATATGTTCCTCTCCCTCTTTCTCCCTCCCTTCCCCTCTCTCTAAAAAATAAACAAAATCTTAAAATTTCTTTTCCCCCCAGAGGATTCAATAGAAAGAATTCTGGTCAAGGGGGAAGAAAGTAGGATCCAGAATCAACCAAGCAACAGGTTATTCAGGTTGCTAGACTAAGGTGAAGCCACTAAGGTGTTGCTAGACTTGTCCTCATCTATCTGACTTGTTAAAATTTTTTTCTCCTACATATTTCAGAAATTGTTTTAAATATAGGATTAAAAAAATAGGCAAAAACTTAAAAAAGTTATATAAAGTATAATATTTTATTAAGCATAAAATATCAGTATTAATAAGCATTGTAAATATTTCATTATAGTTCCAAAACATATGCAAACTAAAATATTAGTTTTAAAAAACAAGACAAATTTCTGAAATGCTTTTTAATCCATTATGATTTAGAGTAACAGAATTATTTTGCTTGACAGAGATTTCAAAATCAACATCCTCATATCAGCAATACAGGAAAATGGAAAAAGGTATATTTCAAAGAAGGACACATTAATTGCTAGACTCTAGAAGTATAAAATACCGTCAGTTTTCCACAAGTATCATGATGCTATAATATTAAATATGCTATAAAGAAATGTGAATTTAGTAAGTTAGGTTACGGGATATATATCCCCCCAAAGAGAACAATCTAGGCTGTTTTGCTGAACCATAGGGCCAAATACACTTTCTGACAACAATATGTTTGGGTCTGTTTTTCTGTCCTGTCCCCACCCCCCCCCCCCACCGCTTTGGCAATTATCCTTTCTTAGCTCATGTACCCTTGGGCGCTTTAATGCTTCCTCATACTTCACTAGGGCTTGCTAGTTTGGCCTTCCTCCCTGTCATTCACCAGCTTGGAGGTCTGTCTTCTCTCTGAAAGTCAAAAAATACTTGGCAGGGTACCAGTACCTTTCCTAGTCAATGAAAATACTCCTTATAGCCACATCTTATTCAGGTATATGAGTTCTGTCTATAATTAAGCCCTGGCCATAACATGAAGGAGTACTTTCACTTTTCTTGTTCATGTAGAACTAGTCCACTCAACAGAGATTTAAGGAGTGAAATACTATGTTGGAAACATGTATTGGGTAGTGTTCTTCAAGACATTACATTTGTGACATTGGAATTATCTACAGTCATATTAGTAAATTCAAAGTAAGAGCAACATATTTTGCACTCTGAATAATTCATTATTCTGCAAGTGAAATATTTCTCAGTTGGTTTTTTAAAGTAAATTCTAAGATGTTTGGATGTTTCTGTCATGGGACCTACTGGAGTCTTGAATTTGTGTAGTTGATTTATGTTTAAGTAATTACACAGAGTTGTACTCTAAGAAATACTTTGACTATATATACAAACTGATATTTATAGCACTTAATTTAAAAAGTAAACTCTTTCTGTTAAAAGTGACAAAACAGACCTCAGAGAACATAAAACAGATTTTAGAGCAACTTACTTTATATTAATTGTGCGCTGCTGATCTTCCTGTACTCGAGTTGGGCATCGCCAGTTGGAACAGTAACTCTCTTGTATGGTAGACATGAGATTTTCGAGATTTTTTGTAAAATTATCATGTTCATTCCCAAACAAATCAATTATTAATGAAGCTTTATAAACTTCCGATTTATATTGCTGTTTTTCCATCTTGTCCCAAATCCAAAGTAGCTTCACAGTTGTAAAACTGTAGGTGTCCATTAAATAAAGAAAACAGTCTACAAACTCTCTACCTAGATGAAGAGAGAGTTCTCTGGGAAAATTTTCATTTTCATGAAGAATGACATATAATAACATTAAGAATCCATCTATAGTGCAGGTATTTTTCAGTCTTATTTCAACATAGAGTGGTGTACAGGATACAGCTTTGCGGCCAGCTTTGATAGTAAAAACACCTCCCCAAGGAAGAACAGGCCTCCAAAATGAGCGATCTTGGTTATAGTTATTTTTAATTGATGCTTTGATCTCTTCAAACAGTGTCTTCATCCTGTATTTTAAAAGTTAAAAATAGAACAGGTATGTGACTACTTATGATATCTTTAAATGAAAAAAAAGCAATCTAAAGACTTCAATTACATTTTGTTAAGTGGCCTCCCAATATAACAAAATTGCTTAAAATAATTCTAGCTATGAGCCATTTAGAGGGCAATATGCATGGTCTTTAGAAAGACCACATAAGCAGCAACCTTTTTTTGAAGTAAGGAATAGCCATTTGATAGTTTATATTAATTATACTGCAGATTTTATCTGTGATATAGGAAACCCCTGTAATAAAGAAAATCTTAAATGAAAGTAAAGCTATTTAAAGATACAATCTAAATTTGATTGCATGAATTTCCAAGGTAAACCTTTTCCTTCTGCCCTCTAAAATACAAGCTACGCTTCATTTTCTTGTTAATATGTGTAGTCTCGCTTACAAAATGAATACACTGCAAGGAAATCCTTATTTGGGCTACAGAATAATGATCAATTAGCTTTGAAAAATAACATAGGAAGAGTAATCATGAGAATTTAACTGAATAGTAGCACAGCTAATACAAAAATCATTTCTATGAATGCTGGGATTTTTACTTACAATTTATGACCATGCTAGATATCCTATTGTGTTGGCCAAAAATTTCATTGTTTTTTTCCATAGTGGCTCTAGTAGCACTTGGCTGTCTTTCACTTCACTCAGAACATTTTTGTTAAGACTGTATTGCGACAGCTGTAGTATCAGTGTGCACACAAAAAAAAACTTACCAAACTTGGTGAATTTTTGTGTAGCCATTTTAATATTGAACAAGGAAGAAAATAAGCAACATTTTCAGCATATTATGCTTTATTATTTCAAGAAAGGTAAAAGCACAAATGAAATGCAAAAAAAGATTTGTGCAGTGTATGGAGGAGGTACAGTGACTGTTTGAATGTGTTAAAAGTGGTTTGCAAAGTTTCGTGCTATTGATTTTTTGTTGGTGGATGCTCCATGGTCGGGTAGACCAGTTGAAGTTGACAGTGATCAAATCAAGATATTAATTGAGAACAATCAACATTATACTATGCAGGAGAGAGCCAACATACTCAATATCCAACTCAATAAAGTTAGTGAAAATGAAAAATAATGTCTTTTATTTTATGGAAAAAAACCATATGGACTTTTTGGCTAACCCAATACAATTTGAATTACAGAAACCATGCTGTGAGATCTGATTTAGAACTTGAAAAGTATTCTGATTCCCTTCTCTGTATATTTTGGGAATGGACTGAGGTGTCCTCCCTATTTAAATTGGCACCTATCTTTCCCCTAACTTTGAGGACAGCTAAGTATTTTGTTTTTAAAATCACTGATGGTATTCTAATAAACATGTTCACGTCATATGTATGTTATATAAAGCAACATTTAAAAAAATTAAAGAATGACGTTCTAATAAAATAATTGAGAAACCACTTGGGACAAAAAAAAAAAAGTCTAGAAAACATCATACTGTTTTCCAATATAGTACTTTTACAGAAAAGTATATGAGTATTTTTTTATGAAAAAAAGGTAAGTCAGAAAGATAAGTGAGTGACTGAGGTCAGTGTCTTATTTTGGCCATCTTTTGAAGTTCCACACCCTCCCAAGCATAATGTGAATCCAAGACTTAATAGTGCTAACCTATATGTTTTATTTGAGCAAGAAACTTAGTTCAAACTGATTTTATAATACTAGCAGACTAAAAATTCAGTTTCATGATATATTAAACACACCAACAGTATTTTTGGCTTGAAGAAAGATAATCTGCACGCTAAAATATTCAACGCTATATTTAGTCCTTAAGTGTAGGTGTTTATATACAGCCATTAATAAGTTGGCTCTAGTCAACCAATTAGGAATAAGAGGGCGTGGCAAATTTGGAACCTAGGAAAATACAGTTTCTCATTAAGAATTAACACATTTCCGGAGCAGATTCGGGGGGAAAAAATCATAAGGCATTCAGATACGTTAAAAATAAAAATCACTTTGTTCATGGTTTATTTCTGTTGAATATAAAGAACTTTGTAGCAATGTCATAAAATCAAGAGCTTGAGTTCAGATCCCTCAATATTGCAATGAAAAGAAATCGTAAATCTCTAGCGGTTTTTTTTCCTTTCCCCAAATTCTTTTGGACATGACCGAATGAAGAGTAACTATAGTTCTATAAATCAACAATTATACTCGAAGAGAATTAAACTACAATTTTATATGTATATATGTAATGAAACTTCTTTAGCCTTTTCTGAAAAGGGGGGGGGGGGAACAGAGGGAATAGAGTATTGGAAGAATTGGAAGACACAATCTAGTATTTCCACTAACGTGGTGATTTGTCCCCCAAAAAACTACTAAAAATTACTTAAAAAGATGGAGAAATAGCTACAAAGAGCTTTACTCACAACCGTCTCATTTTCGCCACACCTTCTAAGATTGTTTGTTAGGCACTGTATTAGAAATCCTGGAGGAGTTATTCGGCTGTCTTTATTTTCCTGCCTCAACAGGCCCTGCAGTTTGAATAAACCTGCTTAACTCCCCAACCTCTTATTTCCTTGGAAAAAAACCACCTTTCTTTTTTTTCTTTTCCAGTCATTTCCAAGGGTGACAATCTGTACTCCACTTTAGTCATAAGGGCCGGACCATTTGCCAATGGCACTGACCATCGGACTCCCTAAAAGCTCGGGGGTCCTTAAGGTCCCCTCTGGAATCAGCATTCCGAAATGATATGAAAAATGGACACGCGCTCTCCCCAACAAGCAGCGCTGGGTGTCCGGGCGGGGACTGCCTAGGCGCGCGGTGGGCACCCTGCTCAGCACCCCCGCACTCCAGCCACGCCCACCCTGCCCCCGGCCCGCCACACCCTGGAAGGCCTGGCGCCAAGCACAGGCTCCGCACCGCGGGAGGGTCTCTGAGCCAGAAGCCGGTGTAGGAGGCTGGACGCCTCTGTCCGCATCCGGTCAGTGGCCCCGCAAAGCGTATGGGACTGCGGGCAATGGGTTAGGGGCTGGGCCGCCGAAGGCATTCCCACACGCTACAGTCTCCGTACCAGGAAGGTGACTACTCGTACCTCCCCGGGGACCGAAAACTGCCGGTGCCGCCGCCCCCGTCGCCGCCGCCGCTTGCTCATGGAGAGTCCGGGCTGCCGTCGCCGACACATCTACTAGAACCGCCGGCTGTCTCGACCTCCCCCGGCGTGAGTGCTGGGCTCCGGCACGGCCTCCATCGTACCCGCCGCGGCGGGAGCCACAGCAGCGGCGCCCAGACCCGATCCGCCAGGACCCACGGAGCCAGGACCGCGGGACGCGTTGCTTCTTATTACGGAGGAAGATTCGGCCTGACCTCCGCCTCCCGCTCCCCAACCCCCAGTTCCCAGCTGCCTGACGGCGCTACTGCGCAGGCGCAAAGACGCCCTGGCCAAACGCACGTCTGTCGGTGTGTATACAGCGTTCAGCTTCGCCCAATGGGAACCGACATCAGGTGCAGAAGGGCGGGACCTCGCAGAAGGGGGCGGGGTTTCAGTGTTGGAGGCTGAGCGGAGCAGCCAAAGTGGGTAGGGTTTGCACGAAGGCGGAGCTTAGCTTGATTTTTTTTGAGGTTTGTTCCATATTTGGACCTTGATTTAAATTTGATTTTAGGTCTCGTGTTCTTAAATTCTTAACTTAGAAGGAGCAAGCTTTATTTTCTCAGTAAGTTATAATTATTTAAGCTTTTGATGTCTCTAGAAAAAAATGTTACTGGTAGTGTGTTAAATGCTGTCTTTAGTGTTGAAAGTAATGCTTGGTCAAAATGATGTAATTTATAATGGAAGTTAATACCGTTTAAAGAAATTAATAGCTTTAGCCCACTCTAGAGAGGAAATTGTTTTGTTTTTGATATGGTTAGTCCCCATACATTGACAGCCGGGAAGTTAAGCTAGAGTTGCTAAAGCTAGACTCTGTGGGCTCAACCATAAAGTTGCTTACAGCTAGAATCTGTGGGCTAGAATCTATTCTGTAGGCCCTAGGTCTTTTGTGTTCCCCTGAAGAGTCAAAGCTCACATGGTTCTGCTTCTGTAGAACACAGGCCACCCTGGAAAACTACCTCCTCTCACAATTAGAAATGGCATACTGTTGAGCTTTTCCCCATCTAGTCGTTCAACGGATGATAATTGTCTGGAAAATAAAGCTCAGTCTCTAGAATACGCAATTCGGAGATCTCAGCAGTCAGCCCAGCACATCATTGAGGTCCTTAGTTACTGCTGAGTCTGGCGGAGGTTGGATGTCTTCTTGGCTAATGTGATGGTCAGCCAGGCTATGGATCTCATGGACCTCTCTCAAGGAGTCTAGTGATAGAGGGATGGGTGGAGGCTGGGAGAAGGGCTTGACTTACTGAAGGTAATTACTGCTGGTGGAGATGGGAAGAAATAGATGTCTTTCATAGCAGAGCAGGAAGAAAGTTGGCTCTACCCCCACGAAAAGAATTAACTCCGTCATAGTCTGCTCTTTTTAGTTTCCTCCTTTTTTTTTTTATTATGGTATTTCACAGGAAACCGAGGCTCTGTGAAATTAAATAACGAGTGTGTCTATGTTGGAATTTACATGCAAAAAAGTTCACTCTCCATATTAAAACTATTCTGCCAGTAGGAAGTCCTTTAAAAATGTTTATAAGTTGGCTTCTTCTGGCATGGCTCAGTGGATTGAGTGCTGGCCTGCAAATCGAAAGGTTGCTGGTTGGACCCCCAGTCAGGGCTCATACCTGGGTTTCAGGTCAGGTCCCCGGTTGGGGTCATTAGAGAGCCAATTGATTGATGTTTCCGTCCCTTCCCCCTCTCTAAAAATAAGTAAATAAAATCTTAAAAAAAAATTAAAGAAGTTATTAAAAATGTTTATAAATTGGATTATATGTTTAACTGACAGTCTTTCATAAGACATGGAATTTATTTTACGCTGATTGGGTCATTTTTTTTCTGGAAAACAGATCCAATAGTGGTGATGTCACTATTAGAGAATAGCAGGGAGATGGCCCATTAAACTCAGCTGAGGCTTGGCTAGGGAGAAGCAGCATGGATTTCTTACATGCTTGATTAACTCAAAAAATTCATGAGGCCTTGAACCCAGATTTTCATTCTGCTTCCTTTCTGTTTCCCTCAAAGTCTTGACAGCTGAGTTGCAGTTGAAAAAAAAACACAAACAGCTTTATTGAGGTATAATGGACAGATATAAGGAGCATAAAGTATAAACGATCACTACAATCATGTGAATATATCCATCATCCTCAAGTTTTCTTATGTCCCTTTTTAATTTTTCCTCTCATCCTTCCTTGCCTCCCACACCTAAGCAACTGCTGATCTAATTTCTGTCATTTTAGATTCATTTGCCTTTTCTAAAATTATATATATATATATAGAATCAGACAGTATGTATTCTTTTTTGGGGGGTGTCTGGTTTCTTTAACTCAATATCATCATCTTGGCATTCATCTGCGTTGTTCTGTGTATCAATAGTTCATTCCTTTTTATTGCGGAGTGTATTCCACTATATGGATGTACTACAGTTTATTTATTAATTTATCCGTTTATGGCCATTTGGGTTGCATCTACTTTTGGGCTGCTACCAATAGCTACTATGAACACTGTGTACAACTCTTTATGTGGACATGCAGGGGTGACAAAATTAGGTTTACAGTTGTTAGTACGGAAAAAGACATAAAGGTTATGATTATTACAATAGCTTAATTAACTCAAGAGAATGTCACAATGCAACTATAAACCTGCTTTTCCCCACCCTGGTATACTTCCTTTTCATCTTGGCTAAAAATCTGGAAGTGGAATGGTTGGATCACATGGTAGGTGTGTGTTTAACTTTATAAGAAACTGCTAAATTGTTTTCCACAATGGTTGTGGTTGCACTATTTTACATTCCAGTTAGGAGTACATTCAAGTTCCATTTCCTCTACTTCATCACCAGCACTTGGTATGTCAGTTGTTTTTTAATTTTAGCTGTTCTAATAAGTGTGTAGTCAAATCTTGTGGCTTTAATTTGTATTTTCCTAGTGACTAATGAAGTCAAGCATCTTTTTATGTGCTTATTTACAATCTGTCTATTTTTTTTGGTTAGGTGTCTGTTCAGATCTTTGTCCCACTAAAAATGCTGGGTTGTTTGTTTTAGGTTATTAGAGTTCTTAATATTTTCTGGAAACATTCTTTATCAGACATATACTTTACAAAGATTTTCTCTGTGTGTGGGTTTTTTTTTCATTTTCTTAACTGTACATTTTGAAGAGCAGAAGTTTTAAATTTTAATGAAGTTCAAACTTTTTTTTATGGATTGTGCTTTTAATGTCATTTCTAGGAAAACTGTGCCTACTCTAGACTCACAAAGACCTTTTCCTATGTTTTCTTATAGAAGTTTTCTAGTTTAGCTGTATATTTAGGTCTATGACACATTTTGAGTTAATTTTTATTTATGGTTTGAGACATGGATCCATGTTTATATTTGTTATGTACGGATACCCAATTGTTCAACAATATTTGTTGAAAACCTGTTCTTTTCTACTATGTTGCCTTTGTGCTTTTGTCAAAAATAAGTTGTGCAGTATCATTTCACAAGAATTTCATTTAGTATTTACTCATTATCAACTCTATGTCACATAGTTTGTTAGCACTGGAGATAAATATCAGTAAGTGTTTCAGTGTTCTTAGGTTGCAAAGACTAGAGACCAGATATTGTTAATTTAAAGTAAGAAATTTATTGGATGGATGTGAAATAAAATAGAGTTAAAGAAAAAGCCAAAAATCAGGTTTCAGCTACCTTGATTGATCAGAGGTGTGGTAGTTCTCCAAAGGGCAATGAGGCACTATTAATGGGAGAAGAGGGAATGGTGTTGGGTAGGTATCTCCTAACAGTGCTTCCCAGCACTTTTTTACACCCACACATGGTAAATAATCAGAGTTGGGCAGTGTGTGAGGATAAAATGATGGAGATTAGGAGTTGTCTCTATATGGTGTGGTAAAAAATTTGTTACATTTTCTTTATATTATGTAATTGTAAGAAAAAGCCAAAGTATGAGGGAGATATGAAATATTGAATTTATATAAAATATATTTAAAAATTTAATGAGAAATTTGAGCTTGTTTCCATGATATATTTATTTCAAATCTCTATTTAAACCTAATATATATAAGGAACGTGTATATATCATAATTATGCATGTCTCTTGATGAATTTTCACAAAATGAACACACTTGTGTGTTCCAGTTACATATACTGGCATAACAAATCACCTCGAAACGTAGCGGCTTAATATAGCAACATTTATTTTGCTTATAAACTTGCAGTTTGGTCAGAGTTTGGCTGGAATAATTTGAAGGCTGGGGGCTGGAATCATCTGAAGGCTCCTTCACTTACATGTTTCGCTGTTGATGCTATCTGTTGACTGGGACCTTAGCTGTATCTGTGACCAGAATATATCTACGTGATTCTTTGACTTTTTCATGGCATGGTGGCTGGGTACCAAGGGTGAGAATCCCAACAAAGAGAGACAGGTAGAAACTCTAGTGTCTTTTCTAACCTAGCATTAGAAGTCAAGCAATTTCAGTTCCTGTGCATTCTGTATAATGGAGGTGAGTCACTAAGGCTAGCCCATATTCAAGGGGAAGGAATTGGACTTCACATTCTGGTGGGAAGAGTGTAAAAGGATCTATGGATATGTTTTTAAATCACCACACTTATCTAACCAGCTCCCTTATCAAGAAGCAGAATATTATCAAAACCTTACCTTTCTACCGTTACTTGCTGCCCCAAGGGTACCCACTATCCTGACTTCTAATAGCATAGATTAATATTGCCTGTTTTTGTACTTTATGGAGATGGAATCACATAATAAGTACCTTTTGTGTGTAGCTTTTTTCTCTCAGCATTGGTTAGGAGATTCATTCATATTGTTCCATATAGATTATTCTTAATACCATTTAGCATCCTATTTTGTAAATAGCGCATAAGTTTTTTTTTGTTCTATTTATTATTGATAGGCATTTAGGCAGTTTCCAGTTTTTGGCTAATATGAGAAGTTATGATTTGAAATTCTAGTACATGTCTTTTGTTCCTTATGTATGTTGAGAATATGTGTAGGAATGAAATTATTGGGTTTAGGGTATGCATATGTTAAACTTTAATACATACTGTTAAACAAATTTCCAAGCTCTGTCACCTGTAGTGAGATATCATGAACATGATTCCTTAATACTAGATTTTATACTTGAGATGACTATGCAAAATCCTCTTTAAGATGTTTTAATAATGTACTCTTCAGATTCTGGATAGTTACCATTGACAGACAAGGCTGGGCTCAGC